AAGGAGAGGAGAGTAGGTGATAATCTGATGAGAACAATGGGGTAATATGTTGTGTTTGCGAGTACTAAAATGAACTTTTTACCGAAACTATGCATTTCACACTGTTTGCGCTAATAATGCGCAACTTAAAAAATTGGAACTACCATCATTTTATACTCTGTGGTGTCCGCTTTCAGAAAATATCGAATGTTTGGGGTTTATGTAGTCTTCAGGCCACAAATGATTTATCATGTGCATTAAAAATGCAATAAACGACTCTGGCAACAAAAAGGGTTCAGATGATTTCCATGGAGACACTTTAATGTGTCAAAACATCTCCGCCGTGTTCCGCTCTTTAGTAATAAAACAATATATATTACAATACATTGTATATGTGACATAAATAGACATTTCCAGTTAAAACAAGTGTGAGTGCCACACATCGGACAGGAAAGCACAGATAACAGAGAATTGGGAAGTCACCGTGACCCAGCAAATGGATTTGATTCAAAAGGTCATCACCCCTATGGAGCCCTCTACTTCTACTTTCATCTCATCCATGCTCCCCTTCTCAAAATATTTAAAAGCAGAACTCCAAAAACAAGTGAAAAACAACCCATTTACCACTTGTGGACTGCCCACCCACAATGTACTGCGGACAGGCGCCCTGCGCAGGCAAAGCTATGTACCTGTACGCTGCTGTCTGCTTCCAGGTTTAGGGCACGTGCGACTCCCCACCAGCACCCGCTGTGATTGTATACAGAAGGAGCCTGTCAGCAAGTCCTGGCCACGGATTCATAGCTGGGACCTGCTGATCAGCTGTGTGCAATCACAGCCCAGAGCTCTGTGTTGACAATCAACACAGAGCTCTGTACAGAGGGAACGATCCCTCCGTTTCTCATTCTTGCAAAGCAGGGATGAGAAACTAAGATCTTTCAGTAAAAAGCAGCACAAACATTTTTGTATAGATATATAAAAAAAAAAAAAAACAAAAAAAAAACACTCCCCCCCCCCCTTTTTTTTTTTTTTTTAAAGAAGTGATTGCATTCCCTCTGTTCTCAGCTGCATAAGAGCTGGGGGAGAAGAAACAGCAGCACACATCTTTCCAGTGAGTATGTCATCGGGGGGTCAAGCGCGTCAGGACAAGTCTGGTCATTGGAGGAGAGCAGGCAGCGCTCTCAGCGCAGCTAGAGAACTGACCGCACTGTGCTTTCATGTCTAGCGTGTTCACTTTTTGATAGGAAAGCAGAGTGATTGAAAGGAATCCTCTCACATGGGCAACCCATGAAAGAACAAATCACAAAGGGCCTGAGGAAGTCATGTGATTCGTGACAACGCATAGGGCGGAAGGGAACGTTGGGGGGGTCAAGCGTATCAGGACAAGTCTGGTCATTGGGAGGAGAGCAGGCAGAGCTCTCAGCACAGCTAGAGAACTGACCGCACTGTGCTTTCATGCCTAGCGCGGTCAGTTTTTGATAGGAAAGCAGAGTGATTGAAAGGAATCCTCTTACATGGGCCACACATGAAAGAACAAATCACAAAGGGCCTGAGGAAGTCACGTGATTCGAGACGCAACGCATAGGACGGAAGCGTGTGGATGTCATTTCTGCTTTCGGACGGCAGACGCCGTTTTGGCACACCCATTTCTGCCATTTTATGTACTACATGCCTGTGTGGGTCTGTGGACCCGGATTTTTATGTGAAAAAGCACTCTGCATTAATTTTTTAATAAATATGAGAACATATTACACTATGGGAAGTCCCTTGTGATTTGTTCCTTCATGTGTGGCCCATGTGAGAGGATTCCTTTGGTGCATCATGGAGGGGAACATCCGAGGTATTGCAGCTGTGTTTATTTGGAGCATGCATGACCATAGCCATAGCCGGTGTTTGATCCATATAGGAGGATTTCCTTGACACATCACAGAGGAAACATCGAAGGATATCATCGCTGGGCATATTCATTTGAAGCATCTATGACCCTTTATGGGTCATGGCTGGAGGTGAGCACGCACGCTAGCTGGTGGAGGAGCTTTATCAGTGGTCACTGGTTGATTCACAGTTTATTGAAGATCTATGCACAGATTGGGACTTTGCACTTTATATACAATTTCACATGATTATCGGTAATATTAGTTATTTTTCAGTTTCCTTAAGCACTGAATTATCAATTATATAAAATATTTATTAGTCATTTATCAGTGCATTTATGTCACTATTGTGCGTTATTTTCACTTATGATTGCATTTAGCCCTGGTTTGCACTGATGCGGAATGGAATTCGCAGCGTTTTCTGTGCGAATTCCGCACTGCATCAGAATCGCATCCCGCTCATGCGAACCGCTGAGGGTGTGTATGTTAACCACTTGCCTACCGGGCACTTATACCCCCTTATTTACCAGGCCAATTTTCAGCTTTCAGCGCTGCAGCACTGACTGGCACAACTGCTGGGCACTGACTGGCAGCAGCACTGCTGGGCTGCACTGGTGGGTGGCACTGGTGGGCAGCACTGCTGGGCACAGGTAGGTGGCACTTCTGGGCACAGGTGTGTGAGACTGCAGAGTGGCACAGGTGGGTGATCTGCTGGGCACCCAGATGATCGGTGCCGATCTTCGCTCTGACAACTGCCGGTTCTCGGCAGTACTTTCCTCACGATCTGACAGCGTGAGGAAAGTGCAGCCGAGAACCGGCACTTGCATTTCCCTGTGATCAGCGTGTCATTGGACACTGCTGATCACGTGGTAAAAGGCCGCTGTGATTGGCCTTTTACCACATCACATGATCAGCTGTGTCCGATCACGGAGATCGCCGATGAGATCGCCGAGTGCGCGCCCCAGCACGTTCTGGGAGGACGTCATATGACGTCCACCCAGAACTGGCTGGCCGCAGTGCAGCCGTCATTCGGCTATCTGCGGTCAGCAACTAGTTAAGTTAACAACACCTCAAAAGCGGTCCACAAAACGCGGTGCGATGTGCGATGTGCAGAATCGGATCACATAGCTGTGAATACCCATGCGATCCGATGCTAGCGTGGACCAAAAAAAAGGGTCCTGTACCTTTTTGGTGTGGGTGCGGTGCAATTAGAGCCATACAAACCGTATGGCTCTGATCGCATCGCACACAAATCGCATGTGATTTACACGGGAATGCGGTGCGGTTCCTGTGCGAATCACATGTGATATACCTCATCGCACATATGTGAACCCGGGCTTAGTGCTCTGTGTGGTGTTTATGTCTATATTTAGTCAGATTTTTTTGAGAAGGTATTTTTGAGTAGCGCAGCGTCATGTATTAAATGTATTTATTTGCACCGATTGGATCACGGTTGGGTGCTTGCTGCAAGTTTTGCACTTTAGGGGTCACTGGCAGCGCAGGAGGATTTTTATTTCATTCCCAGCATTACACACAGAGGATTAACCCTTTATTGACTTGTGTGGTTACAAAGGTTTATAGAGGGCTCTATTTTTAGCCGGGATATTTATAGAACTGATGGAAATTTCTCACTATCATTGGCTGAATTAATATTTAATTGGGACTTTCTTTTCCAGGAGGACATGGAGCAGCGGTTGCCCAGGACCTGCAGCCTGGCCATGTGATGACAACCATGTACAACTCCTCACTCTCCTGGCTCCTCCTGTCTGTTGGGTGCCCCCTCACCAATCAAATTGCTATGAGAGCACCCCGTGTGTCCATTTTCACATGGAGTCGTGGCTTGGCCTCGCCCCCTCTCTCCTCATTGGATGACTGTGATTGACAGCAGTAGGAGCCAATGGCTCCTGCATGAAGGCAAAAAAAAAAAAACCTTCAGCCTTTACAACTACTTAAATAAAGACAGAAAAGGACTTGGACAAGTGACAGATTCTATGAGATTTTATCGATTGGGTTGACATAGATTTTTAGGTGTTCGATCACGCCAATCACACAAGTTTCTCTGGCCGCCCAGTTCTGAAGGAGATTAGGGGTCTGGAAATACAAACATCTATAGGGATGAGGACAGAACTCAAATATGCTGACTTTTTTTTGTAAAGCTCACAGGTGGCAGCAAGAAAAAGAAAAAGGCCACATTTGCAAACTTGCTTGAATTGCCCAGATCTATTTAAAGGTAAACTCCAGGCAAACAGATAACTACATATATATGGGAGTGCTTTTACCAGCAAACATTATTGTCCTAAGATTTACACACGTCACACACCACAACCCTGTCTGGGAGGGGACCTGAGCCTTCTCTGCTGCAGTATCCCTTTCACTTACAGGTTCCAACCCTCACTGTGTGACTGGAGAGTGAAAGAGAAACACTGATGAGCTTGTTTCAATGTCACTCTGCTCTCTATTAACATACGCTTACATTAAAGAACACCTTCCTGGCTTCTGGTGCTGCTTCTTCCTCCTCTGTTAGCTCTGCTGTACAGACTGAAAGAGGCTACTACCAGGTCCCATGCAGGTATTGACACTGCTTGTGTATAGTAATGATTACAAAGCTGCACTCCTTTGTCTTTAATATCTGCCAGGGGATGGGGTTAGCGTTAATTACTTCCTGCCTGCCCACAGTACATTTACTGCAGGCAGGATCACATCCATGTACATCAGCCTGTTCTGGCTTAGGGGTGTGCATGTGTGTGCCCCCCTGCTAACTCCTATTGTTACTGGAATATGCAGTTCAGTTTTGGGCTCCAATTCACAAAAAGAACATTGGGGAACTGGAGAAAGTACAGGGAAGGGCAACTAAACTGATAAGAGGCATGGAGGAGCTCAGCTATGAGGAAAGATTAGAGGAACTGAATTTATTCTCTCGAGAAGTGGAGATTAAGGGGGATATGATCAACATGTATAATACATAAGGGGGGATATGATCACCATGTATAATACATAAGGGGGATATGATCTCCATGTATAATACATAAGGGGGGATATGATCTCCATGTATAATACATGAGGGGGGATATGATCACCATGTATAATACATGAGGGGGGATATGATCTCCATGTATAATACATAAGGGGGATATGATCTCCATGTATAATACATGAGGGGGGATATGATCACCATGTATAATACATAAGGGGGGATATGATCTCCATGTTAATACATAAGGGGGGGATATGATCTCCATGTATAATACATAAGGGGGATATGATCTCCATGTATAATACATAAGGGGGGCTATGATCACCATGTATAATACATAAGGGGGGGGATATGATCTCCATGTATAATACATAAGGGGGGATATGATCTCCATGTATAATACATAAGGGGGGATATGATCTCCATGTATAATACATAAGGGGGGGATATGATCTCCATGTATAATACATAAGGGGGGATATGATCACCATGTATAATACATAAGGGGGGATATGATCTCCATGTATAATACATAAGGGGGGGATATGATCTCCATGTATAATACATAAGGGGGATATGATCTCCATGTATAATACATAAGGGGGGGATATGATCTCCATGTATAATACATAAGGGGGGATATGATCACTATGTATAATACATAAGGGGGGGATATGATCTCCATGTATAATACATAAGGGGGGATATGATCACCATGTATAATACATAAGGGGGGATATGATCACCATGTATAATACATAAGGGGGGGATATGATCACCATGCATAATACATAAGGGGGGGATATGATCTCCATGCATAATACATAAGGGGGGATATGATCTCCATGTATAATACATAAGGGGGATATGATCTCCATGTATAATACATAAGGGGGGATATGATCACCATGTATAATACATAAGGGGGGATATGATCACCATGTATAATACATAAGGGGGGGATATGATCACCATGTATAATACATAAGGGGGGGATATGATCACCATGTATAATACATAAGGGGGATATGATCTCCATGTATAATACATAAGGGGGGGGATATGATCTCCATGTATAATACATAAGGAGGGATATGATCTCCATGTATAATACATAAGGGGGGATATGATCACTATGTATAATACATAAGGGGGGATATGATCTCCATGTATAATACATAAGGGGGGATATGATCTCCATGTATAATACATAAGGGGGGATATGATCACTATGTATAATACATAAGGGGAGATATGATCTCCATGTATAATACATAAGGGGGGGATATGATCACCATGTATAATACATAAGGGGGGATATGATCCCATGTATAATACATAAGGGGGGATATGATCTCCATGTATAATACATAAGGGGGGATATGATCTCCATGTATAATACATAAGGGGGGCTATGATCACCATGTATAATACATAAGGGGGGATATGATCTCCATGTATAAATACATAAGGGGGGATATGATCTCCATGTATAATACATAAGGGGGGGATATGATCTCCATGTATAATACATAAGGGGATATGATCTCCATGTATAATACATAAGGGGGGGATATGATCTCCATGTATAATACATAAGGGGATATGATCACCATGTATAATACATAAGGGGGGATATGATCTCCATGTATAATACATAAGGGGGGGATATGATCTCCATGTATAATACATAAGGGGGGATATGATCTCCATGTATAATACATAAGGGGGGGATATGATCTCCATGTATAATACATAAGGGGGGATATGATCACTATGTATAATACATAAGGGGGGATATGATCTCCATGTATAATACATAAGGGGGGATATGATCACCATGTATAATACATAAGGGGGGATATGATCACCATGTATAATACATAAGGGGGGGATATGATCACCATGCATAATACATAAGGGGGGATATGATCTCCATGCATAATACATAAGGGGGGGATATGATCTCCATGTATAATACATAAGGGGGATATGATCTCCATGTATAATACATAAGGGGGGATATGATCACCATGTATAATACATAAGGGGGGGATATGATCACCATGTATAATACATAAGGGGGGGATATGATCACCATGTATAATACATAAGGGGGGGATATGATCACCATGTATAATACATAAGGGGGATATGATCTCCATGTATAATACATAAGGGGGGGATATGATCTCCATGTATAATACATAAGGAGGGATATGATCTCCCTGTATAATACATAAGGGGGGGATATGATCACTATGTATAATACATAAGGGGGGATATGATCTCCATGTATAATACATAAGGGGGGATATGATCTCCATGTATAATACATAAGGGGGGATATGATCACTATGTATAATACATAAGGGGAGATATGATCTCCATGTATAATACATAAGGGGGGGATATGATCACCATGTATAATACATAAGGGGGGATATGATCTCCATGTATAATACATAAGGGGGGATATGATCTCCATGTATAATACATAAGGGGGGATATGATCTCCATGTATAATACATAAGGGGGGGGATATGATCTCCATGTATAATACATAAGGGGGATATGATCTCCATGTATAATACATAAGGGGGGATATGATCTCCATATATAATACATAAGGGGGGGATATGATCTCCATGTATAATACATAAGGGGGGATATGAT